GTACCCAGTGCTTCAAGTTACCACCATAGCTAGCCAGTAATCCCTGGTTACCTATGGCGAAACACCTGGAGCACAGAGATATATTCTCACTTGCCCAGAGCGAATCGTTCTTTTAACCTTCTGGCTTGCCTGAATAGATCCATATTTAGTCAATGTTTCCAAAAAGGTGCTCACCATTTACTTGCTGGAGCTCAGCAGGGAATGTGGGAGTGAACCCGGGGGGGGGTGTCCCCCGAAAAAATGGAAACCACTTGCGGGAAGGTTCATGGGTCATTCCATTTCTCATTCCCTGCTGAGCCAGCCGCAAGTCAACGGCGCAATACACACCAGGATGCAGCTTGGCTGAACTGAAGATTTGGCACCGAGGCTGTCATCAGCGCTTGTGCGAAGACCTCGCGGTGGCAGTGGGCCTGCCATTTGCTGGCGGAGATGCCCCGGCTCCACGTCAGGCGAGATCGGTGCCAGCTAGCTGGGTCCATTCGAGGCTAAACTTGGGCCAGTCAAATCACACCTTCTACCTGCTGCCTGGACCCCCAAAGGACCCCTTATTTCTGCCTTTGCACCCTTTTTTTTTGGGGTCAAAGGCAGAAAAAAGGGGTCCTTTTGGGGGTCCAGCTAGTTTAGAGAATCCCTAGGAAGAACCAGGTGATGTTTGGAATGGTCGACTCGATGAAAACGTCAGAAAGGGAACCCCGGATGACAAATGAACCCATCCTATCAATTATGTGAATGGTTGCGATATCCATGTGGCACCGCACCGCATTGTTCCTTGGTATGTACAGGGGACTAATTTCAGGATTGCTTAGGTGGTGCAGGATGGACACAGCAGGCTGTCGGGCCTCACAAAAGTGATCCAGATGATCCAGATTTCCAGTGAAACTGCCAGGGCTTCTGGCTCATTGGGGCTGGCATTCCTGAGCTGCTGGGCCCAAAGTCGATTGGAAAAGTTGGATCCAGATGGAAGCTGACGGGGTTTGGGAAGAGTTGTTCAATCTCGAAGAGGCACTGCTCCCCTTGGCGTGTCGCCAGTATAGCAGGCAACCCGGGGTTGCCCCATCATGTTAAACTTAGAGATAAGACACCCTGGCTACCCACGTTCCATTTGCTCACCTGCCTTTTTTTCGCTCCCCTGCTGGTTTAAAGCAATCAATCACTGGCAGGCCGGACTCCTTGAGCCTGAGCTGCGCGGCACGGGCGTGCACCAAGAGCTCCTCTTGGCCCAGGCCGGTGGCTTCAGTCGCTCTGAAAACGGGCTTCCCGAAGTCAACCGCCCAAGAACGTAGGTATTTTCTGGGCTTCGGACCATTTTGGTGGCAAACCAAAAGTTCAGAAAGTTTTTTGGCCAAGCCGCTCAGGCAGGGAGTATTGAAGTCAAGCAACCAAGATTCGGTTTGGCCCCGCCTTCTGTTTCCAATACTTCGTTGGCCCGGCCAAAGGCCCGGGGTTCTCTTTGCGGAGTCTCGGGCCTTTTTCTCTCATGGGAACTGGATTCCTGAGCCGCCTTCTTTTAAGGGGGTCTCGCATTGGAGTGGATCCTGAAAACTTCTTGTGCAACCCCGCTACTACACCAGGTTGAATCCATCGACAGGCCAGGCAAAGCTTTAAGGATCTCCTTCTCCTTTTGAAAATCCACCCCCTTCCGTTTTTTCCCCCCTTTTTTTTCTTCTCGGGATTTGGATGTCGAGGGAAACCATTAGAAGCCTGGCCAAATTTAAGTTGCTGAACACGACGCTTTCTCAGGTATATATGGTCGATGAAGCCTAGCCCCTACTCCAAAATACCAGGGGTTCAATGCAAACAAAACTGTTCGTAAAGGATTGACACCATCCCCTGCACAATGCGTGTATTGGGTGTAGAGGGTCAGACCTTTTGCTCAGGGAGAGCACCCCAGCTGTGGCAAAATCACCCAAGGGATGTTCGGCCAAGTTTGCAAGTGAACACCACTTGGTTTGTTTCATCCCCTTTCCCCCATGAATTACATTCAAGTAGAGGCCTCTAAATTTTCAGCACCCGGCTTATGCCCAGTGCTTTGAACCAGCCGACCCTTTGTTCCTGAAGGAACATCTTCTTGTAAAGGCCCCCTGGTGGGGGGTTCCACCCCCTATTCCAAACACCCGTTTTTTCCAGGGTACTTTTGGGAAAACCGATCGGTTTCCACCGCAGCTTCCAAACCTTTTCAGTAGAGGGTTGACAAATCATACCCAGCTGAAAAAAGAGAGGTGGTACCCTCACAACCACATGTCGCCAGGGTGAGTTGGTAGATGGCCAACTTCTTCTCTTCAACCAGCCGCTGGCACCCATTAGGTTACGGGGGCCCACCGCACCCGCCGGACCGGACCGTGAAAGCCGAAAGCCCAGGGCTGTGCAGCTCCTCGCGAAGAGAGCGGCGGTGGCGGATCCGGAGGCCTTGTGCCAGGCGCTGACAAAGCTGGATTTCTCCGCTCAGTTGACTAGGTCCCCCAGCTAGGTGCCCTTTTACCGTTTCTCTTTTTTGGGGGAGATTCGGTTCCCCTACTAAAAGAGACTACAGAAAAAGGGTGCCCTTTTTCTAACCTCTCTACTAGAGGACCTAGTTGAGGATACCCCCGAAAGCTCCAAATGTTTTTTCTTTTTTTTCAGGTTGTTGTTTCTTTTTTTGTGGAACACAGGGTTTCCCATTTTGCCATGGTCGGTTCCGATGCCTTTGTTGGTGGGTCGGCATCACATCCTATCGTGTGGAGGTCTGTGTTGAATACGCCCAGGTGATATCCCCAACAGACCCTCCGAAAGGAGATCTTCGGAACCCTCCCTGAAAGCTGCCTACCACCGCAACGATCCCAGAGCTGTTTGGGGAGGGGTGTAGCCATGATAAAACATACTTCCTTTGGCATGATTCAATGATACCGTAAAATCATGGGTGCCCTCTTGGCGGGGAATTTGATGGTCACTTTCAGGGCAATGTTTCGAGTTTCCAAGTCTCGCGTGCTCTTGATGTTTCACATACCTCGGATTCCTGGTTTGCCCCATGGCCATCTCTCAGCTGCCCAAAGCGTATCGACCTTTTAATCTTTTGGTTTTCCTGTCTTGGTCTATCTTTAGTAACTCACTTCCTGAGTTGGTGGACTTTAAACTTTTTGGGGTTGGACCATTTTAGTGGTGAATAAAAAGTTCCAGGACGTTTTTTGGCCAGTCAACTTGGGAAGTGAGAGTAAAGGCCCCAAAAGGTGATCACCGAACTTATTTCTGGGTCCGAACGCGGCTGAGATCTAACAACTCTCCCGGGACTCCCGTGGCCGATGTTTCTGGACCACTTTTCTTTGATGATCAGATGTTAGGACTTTCACTTTTTGATCCAACCAATGGGTTGTCCGTATTAAACCACTAAAAGTTAAACCTTTAGCAATAGAGCAGATTTCGCAACCAAGTATTTACCTTCCCACCAATGAGCATGGAACCTGACAGGGGTCCCTTGAAAACGAAAATGGTCTCAGGACCCCCCCAAGATTTCTTGATTGCTATTCGGTTGGATCTTTAGACTTTAACTTTTTGGAAAATAAAGGGGTTTTCCACTATCCCCCCAAAAAGTGATTCACTTTTTGCAGGGGGGTCAACAGCAACCAAGTTTTGGGCTAGGCGGCGTTTCTCGCCGCCTGCGAGCGCGGCAGCAACTCGCGCTGCGCCAGCGTGCTGGAGCGCCTGGCCGCCAGCGTGCGCGGCATCGGTTTGCGCGGGGAATCGGAAAAGGGGCGCGCCGCTTTGGTGGCGGATGTACCCCAAAACTGGGGTCGTCATTTTGACTAGTTCGGTGTTTTGCTTTTATTTGTTTCATTTTTTTTTAAAAAAAAACTCTCTGCCACTGTCTATGAAATCAAAGTCAGAAGCTGGTGGGTGGCTTGCCTTTTACTTGCTTGGGAAACAAAACGAAGCACACTTTGCTTTGCCATTTAAACTACAGCAGGACCTTTTTGCTTAACCCAAAGCATTTGGGCCCCTAAGTGAGTTGTCAAACATATTATCCCCTGCCTTGCGCCTAGGGATGTGGTTGGTTCTCGATCACCTCACAAGGTAGTGAGTTCCAGAAACGGCCCGACATGTCTCACTTTGTTTCCACAGTATACTTTTTTAGGGTATCATGTTGACCCTCTGCCAAAAAAAATGGTATTTACATTGAAAAACCAGGTTTTCAAAAAAAATACCCCAGAAAAAGTGGGTACTTGGAGTAGGGGGTACCAGCTGGTATCACCAACAGCCCAAAACCCTGAGCCGGAGCTGCTCCGGCATCCCAACCGCTCGCGGCAACAGCGGTTGAGTTGAGGAAGAGCCAACTTGCAAAGAGCTGTCGCTTGCGAAGACGCTTCTGAAATCGCTTGCTCGAAGCTTAACTTGACTGAAAAGCTGAAGGTACGAGCCCTTAAATCCATGAGAAGCATAGCAGGTTCTGGCAGGTACCTCTGCTTTGCGGGCAAATTCAACACTATGACATTGCTCAGGGCAAACCAGTCAAAAGCCCCCAACTGATTGAAACATCGAACACCTCCCAGCCCACCCCTTAAAATCACGAGCAACATGGGCATGTCAACATGTTGGTGCCCGAAAATATGGTTTTACTCTTGATCTCCCTTAAAACCAGCCTCAAACAGGTTACCGAAGCACGCGCCCAACCCGACTCCCCCACTCCAAATACCAAGTTTGTGTATACGAACATATGTCCAGCCACCCGTTTTTTTTGGTTGTTGTGTTCCTTCTTTTTGGCCTGGCCATAGCCCCAAACCACTGGCAGTGGTTCAGAACTCTGTGCCAACTGCATCATGCATGGTTGTTGGGAAACATCTTACATTTTTGCTTATTGTGCTTGAGTGGTTGAATTCCAGCCACTTAACTGCTAAATTTAAGTTTTTGCTCCCCCCCTACTCCAAATACCCTATTTTTTCAGGGTATCATGTCGACCCTCTACTAAAATATCAAGTATTATTCACCATGGAAAACAGGTTTTCCCAAAAATATCCAGAACAAAGCGTTGGTATTTTGAGTAGGGGCTCCCCTTCCAACGTCCGCCATGGCCGCCGAGCCGCCCGCTCCGCTTCTCCCGCCTCCCGCGCCGGGGCCGTCGCTGGGTTCCGCGCTGGTCACGGTGCGCTTCGCCTCGGGGGGCGTGGCCTTGGAGCGGCGGCTGCCGGAGGCTTTCAGCGTCTGGGAGCTGCGGCAGCTGCTGGCGGCGGGCGATGGGAGTTGCTTGCGGGGGCTGGCGGCGGCTTTTTGTTTTGGGCGGGTGGGACTGCGGGTGGGTTGGACCCGTCTTTTTTCGGGTTGGCGATCCGGAAACGGGGGGCATCCTTTTTGGATCCTTGTTGGGGTTGGACCCCATTATGTTGCCAGCATCAAAGTCACTCCGTGAGTGGTGAGTTAAGGAGAAACCACCGCGGAGTCTGACTTTGATAGCCCCTAGGAACAGTCAAGATAATGACCCAAGTGGGTTGGACCCGCCTTATTTGGGGTTGGTGATGGGTGTCCGGGAAAAGGGGGGGCTTTGGTTGTTTTTCGGCGGGGGGTCTGACACCATTTTGTTGCCACTCTCAAAGTCACTCCGTACTCCCAAAACTCCCAATGGCCATCACCTTCTGATAAAGGAAGGCGAAACCGTGGATGTACATGGTCCCTCATCGAAAAATATATATCATATTTTCGGGCGGGCTGAATGTCAACCAGCATCTGAACATACATGAGAGTGTTATGTTCGGTAGTACCGCACATGTGGGTTGGAAGTCAACAGCCCCCATTTCCCCACCCTCCTATGCCCCATACCTTCAATACCCACTTTTTCAGGGTATGCTGTGGTTGATGTTCACGCCTGCCTAAAAGAGGGTCGGTACAGGGAAAGCCTGGTTCAAAATATGGTTAGCGAAAAAAGCGTGGGTGTGTTCAATAGGGGGGCAGGCAGACAACTGGAACTCGGTGCCCAAAGCGAATCGACCTTTTGACATTTTGGGTTTTCCAATGTTGCTCTTTTTTGCTAACTATGCTCTTTTCTTCCCTATTTCTGTAGACTGCAGCTCTAGACGCTTTTGTGGAGCTATAATGTTAACAGGATTAGTCAAATGTTTGATAATTAGTATAGCACATTGTGCTAAGACCTAGCTTCAGTTTGGGGAAGGTTAGATATTTAATTCACACAAGCTTGAGCAGTGGCCTACTTTTTGACATGGACCCAAAACAGGTGTCACCTTTCATTTCCAGATCCGAACTTGGCAAGTGAGGGAAACCCTTCCTCCCCACCTTTGCTACTCCAAATGCTCTTTTTCCAGGGTATCATGTCGACCCTCTACAAAAACGAGGTAGGTTCTTTCTGGAAAACCGCTCGGTTTTCCAGAAAATACCATGAAAAAAGCTTTGATATTTTGAGTAAGGGGACATAGTTCCTACACATGTAATTGATAGGACGGGTGTATTGGGTGTAGGGGGCCGGAAACTTCCGGGCCAGTTGGAGCTGCAAGCGCTGCCCTGGCTCCTGCAGCTCCTGGCCGACGGGGAGCTGCGCGACCAGCAGACCCTGGCTGAGCTGCCGCACGGCCCGGCGCCCCAAGCGAAACCTCAAGCAGGGTGTGACCGGCCGGGGCCAGTGGCGTTCTTCCTTGAAAGAGCGCCAAAGCAGCGGGAAACCGTCAAGTATATCTAGGTCTGTACCCTTTTTGGGGGGGAGATTCGGTTCCCCTACTAAAATAGACTACAGAGAAAAAGGTACCCTTATTCTAACCTCTCTACTGGAGGACCTAGTGTCTAGATATATTATGTAGATATATAAATATACATATATACGTAGAAAAGGGTGCGGGTAAATTTCGGTGAATCCTTGCAAATCTGGTGAATCCTGCGTGCCAGGGTCCAACCAAACACGTTCCGGACCCAGGTGGGCTGACACTGGTGCGGCGGTCTGTGCAGGAGTATAGCTGGCTGCCGAGGCCTAAGGCAGGCATTTCCCGCCCAATGGATTTCACAAAGTCGTCCAGGGTTGCCCAAACCGACCTGATAGAATTAACTTGCTTGGCTTTTACATTTCTGGCAACCATGTTTAGTCATGGTCCCAAAAGGTTACCTTGAAGTTCTGGGTCCGAACTGGGCAAGTGAGTTTGTGCAGCCTTTTCTTGTGAGGCAATGTTTATTTATAGGAACCTTGCCCCCACGTGGGGTGATGTCGTTTTACCTGGATCCCCAGTTGCCTTGATTTTCCAGCTGCTTTTGCCAAATTATGGGCTACTAGTGGGTAAGTGGCTGGACAAAAAGTGGCTACTTGGGCATCCATGTACGGCTTTTTCTTGGGAGGGGGAGCTTGAACACATCCATCAATAGATCTTCCTAATAGCTACTGGTTGGGCAAGATCCGTTTAAACGACCAGCCTAGTCGCCGTTGAATGGCAACAAACACGGGATTGTCTAAACAATAGCGGACAACACCCCCTACACTGTACACACAGTACCCAGGGTATGAGAGGGTACGATGTCAACCCTTGACTTGAAAAAAGATAATACAAATTTATGGTTTTAGCCTTCCTGAAACCATACCTGAAGAAATCACCGGTGTATTTCCGGAGCTTTGCGAAAGATGGCATCGTTTTAAAACGCCTCGAGTCGAGTGCCGACCTTTGGGTTTGAGTCCTTAGATGTCCCGTGCCCCAGCAAACACAGGGAAACACATCACTTGTTTCACGGTCCTCGGCGTGGTTTTTTCGTGTGTTCTGTTCGTGTTTTAGTAGGGGCTGCAGCAAAAACGGCTTTTTGCCACACGAAGGGTTTGGACATGTTTCAAACAAATCCCACCAGTCATCGTAGCTGAGCTGCCTTTTGGCATGATTCGTTTGAGCGGGAAGTATCCTCTTGCCCTGTGAACGGACGCTTGCGGGCTGAGCAACTCTAGTAGAAGGAAGAAAGTCAAAGAAAGTGGGGGTACTCCAAATACTCGCTTTTTTGCAGGGTATCATGTCAACCCTTTGCTATGGAAAACCTGGTTAGATTAAAAACAACGTGAAAATAGCGGGTACCTGGAGTAGGGAGTGTCTTCAGCCAAGAAGTTAGAGTCCGATATTGGAAGGGGTGCTACAGGCAGTGGGTATTTGGAGTCATGTTGGCCGCGGATTCGTCAACCTTTGCTTGACAAATAGATGGTGACGTGCACAAATCCTTCTTTTGAGTGGCCAGCAGCCCCATCATTCAGACTGCCCGCATCCCCTCCAACCCTACTTCCAATACCTGTGTTTTTTGTTTGGTCTGTTTAATAAACCTGGTTTCCCATAACGTACTGCATGTTTTTAGTAAAGGGTTGACATGATACCCTGCAAAACACTGGGGGATTTGGAGTTGGGGGTTGGCTGAAGATGTATTGTGGTGCTCAGGAGTACAGCTCTGGAAGGCATGTCCTACTGTGGATGGCCGAAATCCTGCACCACAAAAGAAACCCTGGAATGATGATTCCCCTGCAAATACCAACCAACTTTGGAATCTCAGTGGTGCGAATTGGATTTCGCAACCATTCACAGTATGGCGCGTGATTCGCGGGTAGCGGGAAAAAACATGTATCAGTTGCAATGCAAACCACCAGCAATTATTCAACAACTTTTGAAGGGGAAAACTAGCGACCCCTGACAAATGTCCTGTTTTTGATGCCCCTCTGGGGACTTGAAACCATGGGTGACATAGCCAGTTTTTGTTTGAGGATTTTGTAGTTTCAACACGCCATTTTTTCCAGGCGAAGGCTGCGGTTCAAGATGATCCGTCTCTGCCTGTAGCATCTTGGATGCTTTGCGCCCCACTTCCGTTCGCGAAAAAGTAGCGCAGTTGGTTGGCCCAGTGAATGTGACTTCCCCCACACTGCCATGAGGAAAAGTGCGCTTTTGTTTGGCCCGTGAACCTAAGTGACTGTGGCTCCCCCCTTTCTCCCCAGTGAGTGATGTGTTAAGGGGGAAATGTTGCATTCACTGTGGTTTTCCCATGGTTCCCCCCCTTTTCCCTGGTGAGTGATGTGTTAAGCGGAGAATGTTGCGGTGATTAGTGTCGAATGGGCCTCCGAACTCCTGGTCTTCTCTCCCCTTTTAGTAGGGGAGGGTTCCCCTGCTAAAATAGACTACAGAAAACAGTTGGCACCCTTATTCTATCCTCTCTGGAGAACCTAGTTGAATTTCAGAGATGGCGTTTTCAGGTGGGAATCCGGATATCACTTTGCGGGGCCCGACTCACCCATTCGTAGGGTGGGTTCTACTCGGCCCAAACCAGGGGCTAGTTTCCCCTGGCTTCCTCGGGGCTTTCCTCACACAGAATTTCCAGCCAAATCCAAATGAGTTGTTTGGAGCTTTGGGACACAATCCGCATAACCATGACCATATGGCTGCTTTGAGGACTGAATCCACATATCCACAAATCCGCATGAGGACTGTGACCATATGGCTGCTTTGTCCTTTTAAACAAGTGCCCCGACGCAGTTTTCCACAACGCCACACAGGGTGCCACATTGGGGGTAGTTCAAGAAATCCGCTTTGGGTTGCGGTCCTTTTTTGTGGGTATCCTTTTTGTGGTTGTTTACATCATGAAAACTATCCCCCCCCCCCCCCCTCGCAGAGTGTCCCCAGCAATCTTACCTGATTTTGTAAAGGGGGGAACCTGAACCCTCAAAGTACCAACTTAAAGATGGTTGACATCACCAACCATGATTTAGGTTGACCATAACCCATTTGTAAGTTGGTAGTTTCTTCGGGTCCAGGTGCAGGTATTTACTATGGAGAACCAGATTCTTCAAACAAACAGGTTGAACACGAGGCCTGAATCTGCGCAACGGCCCCACTCGAATTGCCCCTCCCCCCCCCCCCCCCTCAGACTAATTTTGGGAAAAGGGAAAAATGGGAAGTCCCTGAACCCCAAAGGACCGATTCCTTTTTTCTGCCTTTCTACTCCTTTTTTTTGGGGTCAAAGGCAGAAAAAAATCGGAATCGGTCCTTTGGGGGGTCCAGGGACTTCCCAAAAATTTGGGTGGGCCAACAATTCCAATTCTCAGCAGTTCCTTCGGGTGCAAGACGGATTGCAGGCGCTGGATTCATTTGATGTCCGCAGCCCGCTGAGGTGGAGGTGGCCTTTGTGGGGAATTTGTTCAACGCGCTGAGTCAGATGATGCGGCTCACGAAGATGAGCTCCATTTACGGGCGGGCCCTGAGGCGCGCGCCAGGAAGAGTGTCTTCTTTTTTTATTCTTGTTCTTTTTTTGGTCCGAAAACGGCGTGGGGGGGGGGAAAGGTCTTGTTCTCTTGTTTTTTTTGGGGGGGGGAGGCATGCCCTGAGGCGCAAGGACTATTTTTAGCCAGAGGCTTCTGATTCGGGCTTTCAATAGACCCAAAAACGGGGTTTTGGGGTTTCAACTCGGGAGCGTCTGGGTAATGTGTTTTCCTCAAAAGGACGCAGGGAAGCAGGAGGCGAAAGGTCCCTTTTGGGGGGGTTTGGTATTTGGCCGCGGCTCAACTACATGTAGTCTCACTTCCTGAGTTCATGAACTTTAAGCTTTTTGGGAAGATTATTTTAGTGGTAAATATAAAGTTCGGACTTTTTGTGGGCCATCCACTCAGCGAGTGAGTAGTGGACCAGCTCGCTTGGTGGACATGGACCCCCACCTAAATGATGCCTTCCGCGGGAAGGCCCAATATGGACGATGTCACCACGGATGCCAACGATCAGGTGGATTGAAGGAGCTGGGGTGCAAATACCCACCTCAATTTGAAAACAACATATGGGCAAGTGATCGTTAGTACGGGATAATCCTAACCATACTTGGTAACTCTTTACATGGTTCTGGATAGCTCATTCTAGGACCAATCGGTTTGATTATGACTCACATTGTTTGGAAACCAAGGTTTATTTGCAGGGGATTCATCACAAACCAGGGTTTCGTAGGTGGTGCGAAACGGATTTCGAAACCATCCACAGTACCACACCTAGAAGCCTTAAATAGAGATGGGTTCTATATGTCAAAGGTATGTACAAGTGCTCCCGGAATGTCTTTGTGGGTGGACCGAATTCCATAGTTTTGTCCATCCACAGTATGTCTGGAACAGAGCTTTTTCTCTGCGCCAAGAGTCGGCACTTGGCTCAAGATCCGGCCAGGCCTCGCTGCACGGACGGCTACGACATGGCCTGCCTCGAGCCCTGGTTTGAAGCTTTTTTGCTGGGGCTCGGGCCCAGGTGGGTCCCTGAAAAGATACCCCGTACTCCAAATACCCGCTTTTCTTGGGGTATGGTAGGGTATGATGTGATTCCTTGACGAAAAAAGGGGATCGGTATTGACCCTGGAAACCGAGGGTTAAAATAACAAACGTGGGTATTCGGAGGGGGTACATTGGGATTCTCAAAACGGGAATCGTCGAAACAAAAAGGGTTGGTCTCCTTTTGCACTTATTTCAATGACCTAGATCGAAGACACAGTGGGCCCAGGCTTGTTGGAAATCGGTTCGTGCCCGTGTAAAGTCGTAGTCTGAGAGGCGGATCCAACTGGCAGAGCAAAGTCAACTCCCGCTTGTTACCAGAGTTCGATCCAAAGCCCTGAGTTTTGGGAGGTCTAGAAGGAACTCTTTACTGTCACTGTTGTTGGCTGGGTATTTGTTTTGTTGGCTCTGTTCACTTGAGCGGCAAACACAGGTGGTTTTTGCTTTGGTTCTGTTCATTTTTAGTGGAGGGCTGCAAAACAAATGTTTTACTGCCCTGCCAAGGGTTGGACAACAATCTGGAAGCTGGAATTGTCCCTTGCGGTTGATCAAGCGACGCAGGCGAAGATCGGTAGGTGCTTTGGTTTTCCAGGGGCCGTTTTTTCGCACCCCGAATATTTTTGGATATCCATGTGACAAGGGTATAGCTCCGTTGGCTCCGCATTATTTGGCACCTTTCAGCAGACAAACGGCATCTTTAGCACAATCGGCAATGCAACAATTTATTTGAGCTTTGATACTTGACTTTAGGTTCGCGCCACTCGCCCGCCCGCCCGCCCGCCCGCCCACCCACCCACCCACCTCAGGGTCATGGAAGGCAAAAGCGGCTTCCCCAAAATTCAAATAGTTTGGGCACAGGACGATCCACAGGAACTGGACCGAAAGCACCGCAAATGAGCTGTTTTCCTGTAGAATTTCCCCTAACCCAACCCTGGATCGCCAGGCAAGCAATCGCTTTTTTCCATGAACTTTACCCCCAAAAGCCAGCAACAGTGACTGAAAAAAGCGATGGCAACTTGGCGATCTAGGACCCTTTGAAAGATGATGAGGGTATGGGTCAAAATTAAGGCACCAAGGGACCGCAGGTCGGGAGACCTTTTCGCCCAGGAGCGCGAGGACGGTCAACGCGTGGTCCTACAGCCCTGCCACCACGTACCGGCGACTTGGAGTCGAGAAGTCGAGATTCGGATGTGCAGGTCTTGATCCGCAGCCTCCATTGATACGTTAATTTTTGCTCGAAAATATTCTGCTCGTGACAACCTGTTCTAAAATATATAGGTGTACGATTCAACAAAAAATGCTCGAGTTGTCAGCAATCATGCGCCCGTCGGAACTCATTCCCTGTACCATGTTTTGGATTTTCGCTCGTTTGCACTTGTTTGCACTTTATTGCGCCGATTTGCGCTCGTTTTGCACTTTTTTGCGCTCGTTTCGTTGATGACTCTTCCCAAGCTCGCCCCTGTGAAAGCATATGAAACTAGAGAACTTGATTTCTGCTCGAATCCTTAAAAAAGCTCGAAAGCAATTGTGGAGGGACAAAAAGCTACAAAGTGTCAATTTGTGTATCGAACTGGGGGGAGGCGTAACTCCCGGAACCTCCAAATCCATGCTGCTGGTTGAGGGGATCATGTCAACCCTTTACCTAAAAAGGAGGTATTGTCCTTGGGAAACCAGGTTTTCAGAAGAACATACCCTTAAAAATGGGTATTTGGAGTAGGGTTTCTCCGGCTAAACTGGTCGGTGTTTGGAATTGCTACTTCGAAAATGGTACCCGGGTTGCAACCAGTGACTTCCAGGCCCCTTAACATGGCTTTCCATTGGTGGGTGGCGCGCGAAACAGGGAATCATTGCCTTAGTTTGCACTCGTCTTAGCGAGCTCACCTAGCACGGGTTCACCAAGGTTTACTTCAGGTTGGTGAAGTCTATCTTCGCCCACTAAACATGGGTTTCTGAGAGGAGTTCCCTGAAGATTTTTTCTTTGAGATCCCAGTGTTTTCCAGGCGTTCCCAACCCTTGTTCGGTCACTTCTTTTTGGCCATCCACTCAGGAAAAGGGTAACTGGGTCTGTATTTTTTGGAGTTGGTCCCCTTGTTTGGTTGTTTCCAGCAGAAACCAGAAGGAAAGCCGACATCCATTTTGGGGGGGTGCCTGAAGAAACACATCCCTGGCCCCTCAAACTGGCCCAAAGAAAAGGGTAGTTTCAGGGTCCGGGTATACTTAAATGACCTTTCCCAGATCGCAACCACGCCAAGCGGGTTTCCCTTTCGCAGCGCAGACGGGCACGGGCCGCCGGAGCTGCCAAGCGTCGCTGGTGTTTCTCACCTTCGCGCTGGACAGCCGCGCCTCCTTTGACAAAGCCCGGGCGGAGTATTACCGCAGCCAGGAGCGCGGGACGAGCGAGACCTGCTCGAGGATGGACTAGGTCCCCAGTGGTGCCCTTTTACAGAAACAGGGTATACAAACCCTTATTCTAACTTCTAACCTCTCTACTGGAGGACCCAGTGGAGAGAGAGAGGAGCCGAAGAGTGCCAAGACATGACTATCTTAGGTCTGGGTCAAATGCCTTCATATTTTAGTCTCCTGCTAAAAGGGGTATGGTACCTGGACCCGAAAAAGCTCCCCATGAACAAAGTAAGAAATCAGCCTAGAAATTTGGGAAATACCATTTGTTGTAAAACTGATCGGGTTTCCATGGTAAATACATGTAAATTTCGATCCCTTTCTAAGTAAAGAGTTGACATAATACCCTGAAACAAGTCTGTATTTGGATAGGGGGTATGTGTCCAAAATAGTGAAGTCCTCAAAATTTCGTGTTTTCCCTTTCTAATTTCGCTTCAAACCAACCCCAAAGAAGGTACCCTCAAAAAGCGACACCCCATGCCGATTTCCCGACACTCAATACCCTCGCCCGGCCCATGCTAGGAGCTGACGAAGACGAGCTTCGATGCTCGGCAGAAAAGTTGCTCACGCCAGCTACCTGTCTTAGAGGTACCTGAGCCACAATCAAAACCCGGGTAGATGAAGGTTAGTAAGGGACGATCCCAACCATAAATAGCTGCGGCCGCCTTCTAAACTCTTTACATGGTTCTGGGCCTGGGTGCACCATTTGTGAACCAGGTTTTGATTATGACTCACCTGGACTCTCCCGACCCGAAGCAAAAATGGGTCCATGACCTCTGTATTTTGGGTAACCAACCATTTTTTAAGGGTCAGAAGGAGACTCCAGGTATATGTCGTATGCCTTGCTTTTTCATGGTCGGCACCCTCCTTCTTTACCGGGCGCTAGCATGACACAATGAGAAAAGGTGGGTACTGGACTTAGGCAAACCAAGCAGCTCCCAAGAAGGTTCCTTTTGGGGAGTACTGTGCTGCAATTTGTCCCCCCAAGTGTCCTGTTCGAATCTTGGGAAGTCCTCAAAATACTGTGGATGGACGAAATCCTGCACCACCCAAGAAGCCCTGGAATTATGATTCCCTTGTAAATACCAACCAACAATGACTTCCCATGGTTTCCAAGTGGTGCGAGAAGCGGATTTCGTCCATCCACAGTATGTCAATCTTTTGCCACCCTTACAGCAACTGGGCTTGTGTGGCCGCCGGAAATGGACCGGGCGGCTTTTTTGCGGGTTCCGCACTTTGTCCGGGGCAACTCCAGCAGCTTTTTCGGGACAACAATTCCTGCCAGTTTCTTACCCTAAATTCCCAAGACCTTGTTGTGTGAGGTTCTTGCGCGGCCAAAGGCCTTCATATTTTTGGGCATTGGGAAGGTTAAGAGAAACTGTGATTTGCCTTGTTGGAATGGTAAATGGAATCTATCGCTACTGGAAGTATTTACTTTGTCCAGGGGGCTTAAACAAATGGAATATGTTTAATGGAAAGCCACCTTGAGAGTGGGTGGAAGACATTAAACCCAACCCTACATGATATCCACCGGAGGGCTTTCTTACCGAAATTTGCACCCCGAGGAACCAGCTTGAACCATGCGAATTATTGCAAGATCCTTTTGTGGAGCAGAATCAACTCATGGAACCTACCACTCAGAGGGCCTCTGTGACCTAGACACCCAGCAGCCTGCTTGGGGTTTCCTTCTGAACCAACAACCAAAAAAACCTCGGAGCCCAGTTTTTGTTTCATTTTTTTTCCGACACTTTGCTTTTAGCACGTGCCCACGTGCTTGCCAGGTCGTGCCCAGTGCTTCCAGTCACCAGTAGCTGGTAACGCCAGGGAAGCCGCCATCGTGGAAACTGGAAGCACTGGGGTGGTCCAGCGAGCGCTCCGACTTTTTTGGGGGAAGGATCTTGTTTCACTCACTTCTCAAGTGCACGGACTTGATCGTCACTTGGGAAAGGACACCCAAAGGATCCCTTTCTTTTTTCTGCCTTTAAGTACCAACCTTTGTTTGTTTTTTTCGGTTCCTTGATCGGAAAAACAATGGTATCGGTCCTTTGGGGGTCCAGGTGGGTTTGGACCACTCAACCAAGGGTGCGGTTTCCTCTTTTTGATGATCCAACCCACTCCGTCGGATGTGGCGGAAACAACTCGCCACACGGGGCGAGGAGGCGCTGCGGAGTGACTACTGAGGTGCTGCTTGGGACGCATCAGCATCTCCACAGCTCACGGCAGGCGCGGGTGGCGTTTTTTTTTTTTGGCAAACAGCGCGAGTCGTTTTAACGGAATCCCATTTGGGGGGGTAGGTACCAGGGTGGTGGGTGGTTGAGAGCCCTAGGGATCTTTCCATTTGGGTGTTTTTTAGGGGACCCCTAAATTGGTGGCCGTCTTTGCGAAATTGCTTTCCTTAAAAACCACCAGACTGGGGTACCCTCAAAACAAGACACTCGTTTGTTGTCTTCGTTTTGCGGTGGCACCCAAGCAAAAGTTCAAACTTTTAGATGTCTGGGAGTTGAAGCAGTAGGTTCACTTGGCAGGGTCCTTTCAAAGTGAAAGGGACCAAATGCGCCGCTCAAACCATCGCCTTAGCTGATTCAGAGGATCCAACTCCTTAGGCCTGGAGGCCCAGTCCAAGAAAACCCCGGGCCGCAGCGGGTTTCTGTGTCCCTCAAACTACCCATGAAAATGGGGGATCACCCCATAATTTTGGGGGTTAAACCAATTTTTAGGGGAATTTTGAGGGTTCAGGTTTCTGTGTCCCCAGATCCAGTAGCAAAAACGCCACAGCGGAAAGGACGATTTCGCGCAAAAGCCTTGCCTGTTCGGTGCCTCCGGCGCGGTTGCGAGGCATTTGATTTGCCTCCCATCGGTCCATCGATCGATCGATCGCGTCGAGCTGCTCGCGTCGGAAGCGAGGTGAGTGCCGGGGAGGCTTCGGAGCTGGCCCGGGGCTTGGGGGTGGTCTACGTGGAAGTCTTCAGCAACTCTCTGCGCGGCCTCCAGGCGCGCGCTTGCATGCGCCATGCGGATGGTTTGGGGGGGCCTGGGGTTTGGGGTTTGGGTTTGGGGGGTGGTTTGGGCGGGTTGGTTTGGGGGTTTGGGGGTTTGGGGGTTTGGGGGTTTGGGGGGTATTTTTTTTCGTTTTGGGTGGGAGGGACCACAGATGGCTTCTCCATTCAGCGGCCCAAAGTTGTTTTCTGGCCCACCCAATGGGGCAGGAGGTGCTGTTCGCTTGCCTGGACATGCGGCTGTGAGAGCAGATTTGGCTTTTTTTCGCGAGGTTTTCGCGCTGTGCCTGGTGTGTGCCAAGACATACAGCCAGACCTGCAGTGCCCTGTGTTCATGGGCCCTTTGGTGGATTTCACCCATGTCCACCAACCGCTTTTGACCCTTTGCACATCAAAGGTTGGTGGGGATTCAAGTCCACACCTCCTTTGAGGTGGTTCCTCTGAAAATTCATCGCCACGTTGTGCTTTGGATCGTTTTTCCTTCAACTTGGTTCGACAGAAGCCACCGGCCACAGGAGGCCTGGGCAAAGGAATGCCAGACATGAGAACTGGGCCATGTTCCATGCTAAAGTGTTGCCCATGTTGTCTAGATTCCACCTAGACATGCCTTGGTCCCAAACCAACTAAAGACGAATAAAAGCAGTCTTGTTTGTCACAAGTGGAATCTACTGGCATTGCTCGCGAGTGTTCTTTGCGATTGAACGCTTGCTCGAGCGTTGAAATCTGCACGAGGGATTGTCGTTTTCCACGAGGGCTGGCAACTTCTGCAGAGTTGCCCAGCATCTCGCCGGGTTTGTGGAATCCCTAGCGGAGGCAGTACAAGGGGGGCTGGGTAGTAGTTGATAGCCCGATTTGGGCTCCTTGGGGAGCCTTTGAGAACCTTGGACCACCCCCCCTTTAGGGATTCCCAAACAAGTGCAGGTAGCATTGCTTTCAACCGCTTGTGGTTGGCTTACGTTACCTTACTCCCTGAGCTGCTGGACTTTATTCTTTTTGGGGAGGCCATTTGGGTGGCTCCTCTCTTTTGGGTTCTAAAATGGAGGTGTTTCCTTTTGGTTTTCCTTTATGACCAAGAAAACGAAACCTCAAAGAAAGGCACTCCCCCAGTTTAGTGGAGAGAAGAAGTCCAAACTTTTCGTTGGCCAATCTCAGGCAGTTTCGATGTCCTGGGAAAGGGGTGGATTTGAATTGTCGGTCGATTCGGTGCAGTTTGCTTCGATTGAAAAGTGGAGCGAGACGGCCGACATCGCTTCCAGAGGATCTTTTGCCCCCACCCAAACCCCCTTCCCTGAGATCCTTTGAATGGAGGGAGTAGGAGCGGGAGGGGGAGCTTAGAATCCTCAGTGATTCCAATTGAGGTAACTAAGGGCTTCCCACACCCAGTATAGTATGTCAATATCCCAGAAAAATCCACTTCTTGAGTTCCGTTTCGGATGTTTCAAAGAGTTTGGTTACTTTTTTGGGCCATCCACTCTCGGGACAGGGCTTTCCAGCAACCCTGGAGTCCCTCACTAGGCGATGCATGAGTAAACCCGCCAGACGAAGCCAGACGTTCTCGAAAACGGGATCGGAGCATCCACCAAAAGGGGGTCATTTTTGACCCCATTTAGCAGAACCTCAAAGGCGGGGCGAGTTGCCACTCTGAAGTAAGCAGACCCGAAAGGCCACTGGGCGGAACCTAACGGGGGTGGGTATCTTGTGCTACGTGTTTTCCTCATTTTGCCACACCTCTATATAGTTGTCGACCCCTTAGCAAATTAGGTGCGTTCCAGTCACAGGTTTTGGACCTCGGGCCAAATCAGCAGGTCACATGGTCGCCAAAGCACCGGCCATCGAAATGCCACCGACGAGGCGCGGCGTTCGGCGCGCGCGGCTGGTCTTTCGCACTGATGGGTTGGGATTTGGGATGGGAGAAGTTGCACGAAAGAGCACCAACTCAACAGCTAAAAACGTCCATTGGCTTTTTGTCGTGGTTCTTTCTTTTTTCTTGTTTGTTCTCCCTCGCTGGTTGTCAAGGAAGCTTATTAGTACTGGAAAATTTATGTGTTCTTCCCGGAAATCTTGAGCAAACGGAAGAAAACACCCCCGAGAGGGGGAAAACAAAAGAAGTTGTAAATTCGGTGGCACCCTGTATACAGTGTAATCTCTTTTTGTTAGCGAGTTCTTTGCTCACAATGAGGTCTACCCAGGGTCACTGAACCGAGAATACCTCCTCCACGCTCCGCAAGTGGAAGACAATGAAGCCGCTGTGCATTCCACTTATCGACAAGATCTAACCTGTTGTTTTCCCTTTTGTGTCGGGTTGCAACTGGGGCAGTCCATACAAAGTTCAAGGTGGCATCTTGAGGTATGAGTTTTGGAGGTATGGGGTATATATGTTCCAGGCCGTGGACCCCCCCCCCCTCCCCCCCCCAACCCCCCCCCCCCCTGTGGGGGTGGGGTGGGTGGGTGGTGGGGTGGTGGGGTGGTGGGGTGGGTGGGTGGTGGGGTGGTGGGGTGGTGGGGTGGTGGGGTGGTGGGGTGGTGGGGTGGTGGGGTGGTGGGGTGGTTGGGGTGTGGTTCGGAGTTGGTTGAGGCTTGGTGGGTTGGTTTAGGGTTGGTTCAGGGTTGGTTTGCGGTGGGTTTCGGGTGGGTTTGGGGTTTGGGTTGATTTAGGCTTAGGGTTGGGGTTAAGGAGGGGTTGCAGGGTGGTTTGGTTTAGGGTAGGATGTTGCGAGGGGTGCGGGGGTGTTGGCTCACGGGGTGAAAGGGGGTCTGGGACCGAAGCTGCAGGGCTCGCACGGTACTGGCCAGCATCCCCAGCATTGCCAGCATTATCCCCAAGATGCGGATGATGCGGGACCATACCATTGGGGGGGGGGGGGGGGTACGTGGCCCAGGGACTGGTACATCTATACGGCTTGTAGGGGTATATGCAGCAGTAGCTTAGATTGCTGGTATAGAATCCTCCGAATTCCATGCCTAACACCCTGGTAGTGGTACAATTGTCTAAGGCGAATCGACCTTTGGCACTCCAACGAGGGTGGCTGGGCAATATTTCAGGGCACGAGTCGTGTGTTCTTTTAGCACCCAGTGATCAGTCACGCCAGGGTGATTATCTCTTGAAGCCGGCTTGAGAATCACCTGGGCCACTTTGAGATATACACTGTCTGGGTGAATTATAACGACCTCACACGACCTCACACGACCTCACCCCAAATGGTGGTTTATGTGGGGAATATCCCTCCAACCACCTTATTTCAGGCTGATGAAGTATTATAATTCACCCAGACACTGTGCCGTGGGAAATCTTAGCCAGGTCCAAGTACTTGGACCCTGCGCGTTATGCTTTCCGTTCATGGCTGCAAGCATCTTTTGGGTATGCCTTCGGCCGAGCTTTTTTTCATGCACGGCTTCGGCTTGCAGAAAGGTACCTTGCCTTTTGGTTGCAGTTCTGGATGGATCCCGAAGGCTTCAATTGCAACACCCCTCCCTCCCTAAATCTGAGGCCACCCCTAATCATTACTGTGGCTGGACCGATTCCTGACCGAAGCAACCCTGGTTTCCACTGGATTCTCCTGTAACTCACTTCCATTTTAGTGGTAAATACAAAGTTCAAACTTTTTTTGGCCAGTCAACTTGGGAAGTGACATAAACGTTCTGGTTTCAACATCCATGGCAAATCCTTCCGTGGCATGCGAGACATTCGCATGGATTTCGCAACCACCCATCGGTATGGCGTGGAGCGGATGGAGAGTTGGAATGATCCCGAGAAAGAACCATCCCCCACTGTGGTTTGTCCGAAATCCTGCACCAAGTACAAGGGAATCATCATTCCAGGGTTTCGTAGGAGGTGCGAAGCGGGTTTCGTCCATCCACAGAATGGTTATAAGGGAATCCCCAAAACCGGTTCATTCCCAACATTCGACAGGGCATTCCCTCTCACAACAGCAAGGTCAACATTCGGTGGACTCACAGGGGGCTCTCAAGCGAAACGATCCACGAGCTGGCGAGCTCATGTGGCAGTAGACCAAGCCAGACAACTGAGAGACGCGCACACACACACACACACCCAAACAAAGAAATGTGTTATTGTCTAATCGCAGTTGCGATTCGGGTGTTTCTGCCAGGGATCCTGCAAAGGTCCCTCCATTTTCAACTTACCTAGAAAAGTGTTTTGTTTGAACGCATTATTATGTTGGAGCCAGACAGCTGATCAATGTTAGGGGAAATCCAATGACTGGACCTGGTTTTCCATGGTAAATACGGGAATTTGGAGTAAGGGGTAAGAATGGCTACCCTGCGCTTAGTGCTTACCCAATTCCTCTCCGTTCAACTCAGATTGCGGGACAAGATTTACGGCGACTTTCTGCAATACCAAGGGGGGGGGGGCGGTTTCTGAAGTGACGAAGTGAGAACGATCGCCTGCAGCACAAAGAAGTAGGGAGCCCCAACAGATTTCTGAAGGGAAACCATAAAGGGAGAGGTCTGCCCATTGTAGGACCCAACTGTGCACATACATCTTCTTCTGTTTTTTTCCTTTGGGAGTTCTGGTGAGGGTCAAGGTATATATAGTGTATATACCTCTATATTCACATATATAGATACAAATGTCAAGTTGCCTATGTCCTGGGTCAAACTCCCAAAAAGGTTTAGGACCCCTGAAGCTTCAACTCCAATTGATTTTGTCTTTGCGGCGCTCCGGTTCTCACCGGCTCACAAATGAGTTGCCAACCCCAAAGACATGAGTGATATCCACCGATTCCGGGGTAGAACGACTTTCGCATGATACTTTTGTCTTCTAGGGGATCCGATTCTTATTTCAGCTTTGGAATTATAGTAAAACATGCAGATTCATGTTTGTTGGTAGCTTGACAGTTTGAGGGTCCAGGTATGTTTATAATACATCAATAAGAATAAGAAGGATGATAGCAACTACAATGATACTATACGCCTTCGCAGATACATAAGCAACACAGCGTTATTTGTCCTGTTGGTTTTACAGGCGAGCGGTTTCACTACAGGACATATTACTATTTGCCAGGGGACGTGCAAGTGGAAGAAACTCAGCCCAAAACGACTCGACATGAATGGGTTTTAACTGTCTCTGGTCCGCCCTGTTTCTACCAGTTGTGGAGGTGGAGGATGGGAGGGTTTTGGAAGACTGCCATTCTCTTGCAAAGGCCCTAGTCCACCTCCATGACTGCAAAGAGGGTACTTGATCTTGTCCAAAACAGTTCGGCTTTTTCTCACGTGTTGGTTTCCCTGATTTGGTAACCATTTTTCAGGTTTCAAAGGTGATGTTCATTTTCTCAGTTGTTCAAAGCCGACCTTTTGACCTTTTGGTTTTCCAATGCCGGTCCATATTTAGTCATGGCCCCAAAGGGTTAGCCTTTTGGTTCCAGGTCCTTTGGGCAACGTTCATTTCAGGGCCCAGGGGCAAGTAAGAAAGTCTTCCCCATTTTTTGGCCTCAGGGGGCGCTTGTGGAACCTTCGAGTTTTCCTTTGGGCCCCTTCTCCCCCGCTTCTCGCGACAAAACCATCAACTTTCTCAACCAAAAACGACCACTTCGACCCTCAAACTACCCACACCAAAGGGACATCTCATAAAAGAGGGATCTCACCGGGCCCATTTTATGAGCTTTTTCTTGAGGTTCTCCATGAGTTCATGGCGGTTAAACTTCTTTGGGAAGACAATTTGATTGGACAGCAAGTTTGGCCTTGTCTTGGCCAGTCCATTCAGGAAGTGGGCGGATCCCTGTTTGTTTGCTTTGTTTGTTTTGTTTTGTTTGTGTTGCTTGTTTGTTAAGTCTAGACGTTCGGACGAAGTCGCTCCGATTGTTGTTTTGCCTCTTTCAGCTGATGCCTTGCAAAGGCGGAGCGGCATATGGTGAATTGGCAGAACTGGGTGCGGCTCCTTTTTTGGAGTTGGTGCCAACCTGTTTTAGTGGGTTTTAAAGGCAAACCAAAAGGAACACCTAAGCCATTTTGAGGGGGATCCCTAAAACAAGACACACCCATATGGAACCAACACATTACGTGCAGTTTTTTTTCCCGCCATCTTTCCTGTTGCTAAGCTATGGCTTTGACCTTGGTAGGGTGTCCTAAGGTACACATGGACCGAGAGCTTGCCCAGCGATCGGTTCTCAAATGGCTGTCAACCCTGAATGCCATGGGGAGGAACACCGCGGCAACTGTTTTGCACGTCTTCGTGTTGATCAGCTCTTTGTGATGGTCCCTGAGTTGTTGACTGAGGATGTTTTGCACATGCGGTTGTTCTTGGATTTTGGGCCCTTGAGCGACCAGCTGAAAAGCCACAACTCCCTGTTTATGCGGCTTATTCACAATGGGGATGGTGTTTGTTTCAACTACCGTTATTGGAACGTTTCGAGTTGCGCAGTTGTCTGGTTCTGTTCATTTTCCTTGATTGCTATCGGGTTGGATCTTTAGACTTTAACCTTCTGGAAAATAAAGGGGTTTTCCACTAAACCCCCCAAAAAGTTAAACTTTTTGCAGGGGGATCAACAGCAACCAAGTTTCGTGGCATTTGCCAAACAAAAAAACGTTTTCCGCCCCTACCAAGGTTTGGGACGTTTCTTGGCGACCTTTAGGGGCAACGACCTGGTCTTTTTGAACCCTCACAGCCCATTTTCCTGTACCACGTGGGATGTATCCAGGGCTTGCCTCACAGGGCTCGTTCATGTGTTTGGCTTCCTTTTGGTTTCCTTTTGGTGTCCTTTTAATGTCCTTTTGGTTTCCTTTGAGCTTCCTTTTGGTTTCCTTTTGGACGTGTTGCCATTTCTTTGAGTCTGTTTGTCCTGGAGGTGTCAGAAACTGGCTGGTTGTTCCCTTCGACCTCAGAGGCCGACCTTGCTTTTTTTATTCCATGCGGCCAGTTCAATCTTTTTCGGGCTTCCCTACTTGAGATGGGAAACAAACCTTCGAAGCCATGCATTGCGTCACAAGTTCAAGCTAATCGGGTTTTCCCTACTAGGGACGGGGAAAAACCCTTCGAAGCCATGCAGTGCTTCACATTCCGCAGCCGTGGGACAGGATTTTTGAACGGTGTTTAGTTTCGCCCTCGTCATGTGAACCATGCCCGAGGGCAGGTATGTGGATTTCATGGCCTCCGTTCGACGGAGGGGCGGATATTTGGAGCTGGACCTGCGCCGGAGTTTAAGTCTCAGCACTTTAGAGACGAACCTGAGCGACCAATTCATGAAGAATCTTCGATCAGCAGCCCACAAGGAAAACCCAGAGGACGACTGCTGCTACTTCGATCTGGATATAAGTGAAAACAACTTACCCCCTGAGGCCGGGTGGAGACTGTGGCTTCAAGCGATTTTAGAGAACGGCCCTCATGATTTTCTGTGATGGGCACTGGCACCGCATTGCGGCCAGTTCCACCAGGTTTCGTTTTAATCCGCCAGTGCTTCGTTTTGCCCCTCTCTCTAAATAGAGAGATATACCTGGACCCTCAGACTACCCTTAAACCATGGGAAACACTCATCATTGTGGCAATAGCCAATTTTTGAGGGTAGTTTGAGGGTCCAGGTATGGGTGTATATCGATATGTCTACATACAACTATATGTATACACATACAAATATATATACATATATATATATATAGTAGGCAGTCAGGGATTGTTCCATCTAGTGTGTATGATCATGATGGCCTCCCCTGGTTGCCTACAAGCTAGGTAGGTTGCAGCAGGGTTCCAAGTTGCAGCCAGGCTTGTAGGTTGTGTTTGCTTACCACCCAAAAAACAAAAAAAGAAGAGGTTATCACCGACTTACCAAGCAGGCCGAATGGTTGAGCGGTCGATAGTTAGCGTCATGTCCTGTTGTGAGGGGAGGATAATGGGAGGAAATAGCGGTTACTCATCAAATTATGCATGTTTCATGGGGCCTGAAGGAGGGAGCCCAAATTAGCTCTTGTTAAGCCCTTAGCTTGGCACCACCAGGTTATTCTGCGGTGTGTGTTGGGTACTTTCAGGGAGTCACGGACCCTTTTTGGATGGTGTACTTGGGTGTGAAGGGCCAACTCAGTAAGTTGGCAGTTGGCATCCTAGGCTACAACCCACTCAGAAGTCCCCCGTGAATGTGGGGTAACCCTGCGAGTGGGTGAAATAACCCAAGTGGCGTTTTCTCACTTTCCAACTTGGCAACGCACATCCAAGTAGGGAAACCAAAACAGGAAACCATTTTTTCACTCACCAACTTGGCCTTCCGAACATCCAAGTAAAGAACCCAATAGGATCAACCCATGTTCCGCATGTCAGTTGGGCCAAAATCATATCGACTGTGGCTCATCTAAGCTAGCACTCAGATTTTGAGCCAAACCGAGCCTTGGAACCGCTAAGCCTTGGAACCACCAAGCAATGGAGCCACTAAACCTTGGCACCATCTCCGATTTGGAGAGCTCCTTGACGCAAGGCCTGCCGACTTTTGGTCCGCTTCTTGACACAGCTCTCCTCAGGGCAGTGGCCCGTGTGTGTGCGCTCCCTCCGAGCCTACCGGAACTGCTTCGGGGACGAGGGCGCGCTTCACTTGGCGCCTCGGAAGTTCCGTTTCGGAAATACTCAGGGCACCTTTTTGGTGTGGTTTTGAAAGGGAAGCCAAGGACCACAATTTTGGAGGGTCCCAAAAATGGCACACCCAAATCAGGGCTCCTTAACAGATCTCCATTTGCAACCATTTGAAACATGTTGCTTCTTCAACTCCAAAAGTAAAGGGACACCACCATTTACAAGTTGCAGTGTTCAGGTGTATGATGTAAGGATCTCTGTTACTCTGCCTACCCAGACGCTCCTGGCTTCGGCTTCCAATGGAAGACCCAGACCCTCCATTGGTCGCCCCAAAAAGCCGGGTTTTGGGGTCCCAAAAGAAATCGAATTGGAGCGTTTGCCAATTTTTTTGGTGGCGAGCTCACCGATTCGGCGCAGAAAACGAGCGATAGCGAGAAGGACCCTTGACTTGGGGATTCCTGTCAGGTGTTGGACATACCCCCTACACCCAATACCCACTTTTTTCAGGGTATGATGCCGGCCCTCTACTAAAAAAGGTGGTATTTACCATAAAACAAAAAACAACAGGTTTTCCCAAAAATACCCTGAAAAAAGCGGGTATTTGGAGTAGGGGGTACTGTGGATGGTTGCGAAATCCATTTCGCACCACTGGGAAACCATACGAAACAATTGTTGCTTGGTATTTACGTTGGGGACTCATCAGAAACCAGGGTTTCTTCGGTGGTGCGAAATGGATTTCGCAACCATCCACAGTAATTACTTCAAAAGTCGGCAGATTCATTCGGAAAGAAGCGTGATCCTCCAAGTTTTTGGGGGACTCCAACTCTAAAACTTTCCAGCCATGTTGGGTGGCATGCCCTCTACTCCAAATACCCTCATTGGTCAGTTTGTTGAAGAGCCAGGTGTTCCAGGGTATAATATTTGTTAAAGTAGAGGCTTGACATGATACCCTAAAACAGCGGATTTTGGAGTTGCGGGGGGCATGCTCAACCAAAAAACCAAGGACAAGCAAACATGTTTCCCATAACGAAAACGGGGAATGCACCAACCATAATTCTAGAGTACCCTCTATTCCAAAGGATTCCAAATACCCGTTTTTTGGTTGGGTATTGTCTGAAGAACCTGGTTATCCAGGCAAAAATACCGGTCCCCTTTTCAGTCATTGTCATACCTTGAAAAGTTCTTAGTCAAGGGTGACATCATATCCTACCAAACCCACTGAAAAAGGGCGTATTGGGTGTTTGCCTGGTTTCTCAACCTTCCCTTGTGGGTTATTGCCAACCAAAATTATGGTCGGTGATTTCACTTATTTTCTAAGGTGGTACGAATTTCAGCCAGGTACTGAATCAAATTTCAGCCGGTGGCTCACTTCCAAAACAAATATGGGTATTGGGTGTAGGGGGTTCTTAGATGGTCAGGGACGAATCGCTAAATGATTAGTAACCCTGGTAGGAGACTTACAAGCACCATAAGCGGGTTGCAACCAAGGTTACTGCATTACTATCCACAGAGCGCTAACTCCCAGACCATCTAAGTAGGGGGAAGCCGATGGTTTTCCTGGGGCCAAACTGGTGGGTGATTTCCCATTGAAGGCTTCCCCCTACTCAACATGATACCAACGCCTTTTTCAGTTGGTCTTTTTGGGAAAACCGCTCGGCTTTCCATCGGCAATACCAAACCTTTTTGAGTAGAGGGTCGACAAATGATACCAACTGAAAAAAGGCCGGGTAATTGGAGCTTTCGGGGGTTAATTCAAACCAACCAGCCCCTCCAATAGTGAGGGTTCCCCACGAAAACTTAGGCACCAGTTTACTAATAGGGCGTTCCCCTCCAGGGTATTTGGAGGCTTCGGGGGGTTGAGGGCCCACCAGGGCAGCCGATATCTCGGTTTTCCTCGGCGGCTTTCGGACTCAATGGTTGTCAGGCGGAGCTCATCTGGCGCCAGCGTTGGCCTTTGGCGCAGCTCCATCTGAGCCTCAGCTCAGCAATTCCCACCCTAATCTCAGAAACCAACAGGAAATTCGATAGGCAACCCCTGATTTTGGTAGAAATCCCTGTAGAATTTGGCCAACTTCCTGTAGAATTTCCTGCTGGTTTCTAGGACCTAAGGCTCATGAGCCCTCCAATGCAGGCACAAGGGGCCCCTCCAACGGAGAACCCGGACCAATTCCTCAGGGCCCCGGAAAGAAAACAACTCATCGTGAGGGAGCCAAAAATCATCGAATTGGAGCCTTAGGGCAGATGCAGTCTGAGCAGGTGTGGCTATGGGTCCAAACCCCGGTTAGCCCCCAGTGAACATCCGATTCAATCCAAGCACTAAAATACATAAAAATGGGTTGTGAATTCACCTACCCCACAATGGGATCCCATTGGTTTTGACCCACGGCCATGTGGCTTTCAATCTCCAAATCGCCTGAAAACATCCTGGGTTTCAGTAGTGTTCCTTTTGATGTTCCTTTTTCAGCAGTTGTTTTTTTGGAAAAAACAAAAAAAGCGGAAAAAAAAAAAAAAAAAAAAAAAAAAAAAATTACATTTGTCCGACCTGTCACTAGAACACCCGGCCTTTTTTTGCAGCTGATGTTTTTTGGGGGAATCCCGGGATTCCAATTTTTATTTGGCCGCGTAACTACCGAGCCCCTTTTTGCATAGGGTTGATAACATACCCAAAAGAAGGGTATTTGAATAGTGAGTTTTATGATGTTTTATGTGTGTGTGTGCTCTTTTGGGATTCATGTGGGTGATTTTTGTTTAAAGGATTTGAACCTCTTTCTCCAAATCAAATTAATTTATGGTGCAATGATTTTCCTCTTGGCTGTCCTTTGAAACCACACCACAAACAAAGAGGTTACCAACTCGAACAGACGACCGACCCATTTTGGTCAATTCATGTCGGGCCAGATTTGTGAAATATTCTTCATTAGTCAAGGTTCCAACAGGTGATCGCGTTATATTATACACTATGATCAATCTAGGTTCCCTGAGCAATACCCTCCTGGATCGCCAGCTGCTGCTTTCTTTTTTAGTATGAGGTTTACCCCAAAAACCGATCGCAACAGGGACTGAAACATGCGATCGCAACTTGGCGATCAAGGCTGAAACAAAAAGCGGGGTATTCATGGTTGTTGTTGGGACACATTTTGTATTTTTGCTTATTGTGGTTCAGTGGGAAATCCCCACTTAACTGCTAAAATCATGTTTTTTGGCCCCCCTTCCAACGTCAACCAACCCCCTACTCAAAACACCCTCCTTTTTTAGTAGAGTGTCGACATGATACCAACCGAAAAAAGGCCGGGTATTTGGAGATTTCGGGGGAAGTATTTGGAGTTTACGAGGTGGGGTAAGGGAACTTACGAGCATCGCAAGCGTGGAGGTTTGGTTCAGTGGGGAAAACCCCCACTTAGCTGCGATGTTTATTTCTATGTTTGCTCCCCTTCCAGCGTCAACCATTGGAGGTTACGCGGGGTCAGGTGGACCTCCCCGGGCCAGGAGCCACAACAGCATCTCCGGCTACGGGGCCGCCTGCATCATCCTGGCCCTCGCCTGCGCCAAAGCCGGCCGAGGCACAAGACGCAACGAGCCGAACCAGCCGTCTTGAGACCTCGAGCCCGGGGGCGGGATGTTTGCAGGGAAACGATTTGCGTGTTTTTATTCTTGTTTTTTGGTCGGAACGGTGTTTGGTCGCCATTTTTTCGTGTTTTCCTTGCTTTATTCCCCGCGTTTTCGGCTTTTAGCCCCAAACTCGCTGGCGGCTTTCTGTTGACCGTCTTCGTCTCGTGCTTTTTGACCCAGTCGTTTGGTTCACTTCGCCCCGGGCTCGATCCGTTCGATCCCAGCGGCCAGGCCCGAACGCTGAAGGGACGTATCCGCTGCGAGTGGCCTCCAAGGTGCCGAGGTACACTGGGTGTTGGATGCGCCTGGAGCAGAACGAGGCCGGACGCCGCAAGACGCGCCAGCCGCCAGCGCGCGTGGCGATTCGACACGTTTACTCGAAAACGTGGCGAGCGAGTGGAGCTCGGTGGAGGTGTTGTTGCTTTCTCTTTTTGTTGGGCGGTTCTTGTAACCTGCCAGTTCTCCTTTCTGGTGCATGGCCGTGATCACCGATTTATTTCTAGGTCTGAACTGGGCAAGTGAGAATGTATGGGGCCCACACCCCCTGCTCCAAATACCCTCTGTTTTCAGGGTATCATGCCGACCCTCTGAAAAAGCCCGATCGGTTTTCAATCGAAAATACAAACTGAAAAAAAGCCTTGGTATTTTGACAGGGCTCCTTACAAGATACATTTTGCAACCATTTGAAACATGGCTTTTTCCACCGAAAATAAAGGGAACCCTCCATTTACAGGGCAGTGTTCAGGTGTATAATGTAAGCATCCCTGTTACCCCTGTTTTCTGTTGGTGCTTAAACTTCCGTTTGCTTGAGAATATGTGTTATTTTCCCTTGTTGATTTTAAAGGGAATCTGTCACTATTGGAACTATTTTTATTTTTCCAGGGGGGTCTTAACCAAATGGAAGATGTGTTTCGTCGTTTGACTTTGCTCCAATTTCAGCCCTCCACTGGGGGGATGTCATGATATTTCAAACGTTCCTGGGGGTAAAGGGAATCTATCACTGTTTGAGTAGGAGGTATTCGTATGGAAACTTATTTTTCATAATAAGTTTTGTGGGTTATGAGTTATAACCAAGGTTGTTCCCCAGCTTCTTCATTGCTGTTCTGGTTGTTCCCCAGGCACGCACGGTAACGGGGGGTCAGCTTTAAAAAAGGCTGCGGTATTTACTGTGGAAAGCTTTTCTGGGTTTTCCCCAAAAGCAAGTGAAAAAAAAAAAAAAACAAGAACAAGAGGCACTTGGAGCTACTGGGGGCTTGAATTTAGCATACCAAACTGGAAAGAACTCCTTACCTCTTAAAAACACAAGACCTTTCTCAACTTTTTGGGGTAACATGGGCTATATGTCTGTAACATATTTTCACTTCCCCCAGCCTTGGAGTTTTAAGGGGTAAGGAAGGTCACGAAGTGGAGGTCTCGGGGCAAGGAAAAGAGGACGGGTGAAGCAAAGCGGAGCTCTCGAGACGTGAGGTGCAGAGCCCGGAGAAGCTGGCGCAGGAGCTCCGGGCCTTCGGCGCGCGCATCGAGCAAGTGGGCCGCAGCGAGCGGGACCCGGGGGATGGGCCGGGGGAGCGGAGACGAGAAAAAAAAAACGGAGGCGAAGCGCCTGGAAGTCTACGCAAAAAAATGCCAGCTTTTTGTTTGGCTCTAAGTTTTTGTTTCCTCGGTGTTTTTTTTTGGGGGGGGGGGAGCCTGTGTTTTTGTTGGTGGTTCATAGCTTCTGACGGTCATTTGTCGAGGGTGCCCCTTTTTTTTGTTAGATGTTGAAGCCGAAAGGACACCCCACTGCCTGGAGCCTCCCTCTGACCAGTAGAAAATGGGACCGGAGTCTCCAATCCCAATGGCTCACTCCCGGGGTCCTGGGCTTTCGGCTTTTTTGGGGGTTCTTCATCGGACAGAGTGGGACGGCATTATTCAATTGGTGGTTTGGATTGGTGGTTTGGGATTTGAACGGGTCTCTGGTTCTTGCAGAGGGTAAATGGGATATTGGGCTTACCCCTCCGTTCCAAACCACCAATTGGAGGGAAGCTGACACTGAGTGTAAAAATAGGTACATGGAGTTTCCTTCTGACCCGAATCAAAAAATGGGCACATGACCCCTTCATTTTGGGTAATGACCAACCATTTTGTAAGGGTCAGAAGGAGACTCCAGGCGATCGGCCCGGCTCGAATTCGTGCGCCTCTTTTTGCAGAGTACTCCGTGAGTTCCCCCTTGGTAAGGGTGATGTTTTTGGGGTTCGCATTTAAAATGCCAACCCGTGGCGTACACAAGAAGAAACTCACTTCCCGAGTTCCGTTTCAAGCTTTGGTCACCTTTTTGGGATTTTGGACCGTTTTAGTGCTGTTGCAAAGTTTGGTTGCTTTTCTTGAGCAACCCACTCAGGAAGTGAGCAAAAGAGAAGCCAAAAGGTTGTGCGAACGGTATGTGTTGTGAGCCGCACCAATGAGCACATTGTAATCCTCAATCCTTTCTGTGGATAGACGAAATCCTGCACCTAAGAAACCCGGCTTCTGAGTCTGATGATTCCCCTGTACATTCAACAATCGCTTCCCATGGGCATGCGGTGCAGGATTTCTTCCATCCGCAGCATCGCTTTCTTTAATTGGGCTTTTGAAAGGCAATCCTTTTTGACAAGATGCTTACCATGGGTTACGAAAGGATTCAGTTCCCTCTGGTTTCGCAACAGGGGTTCTGGATTAATGGCCAACATCATGTTGAATAGCCCCCGTTTAAAGAGAAACCAACACACGTGTTTTTAGATTAAGGTATATTTTGCAGTGTTATTTGCGTCAGGATGAAATTAACTAGGCTACTCTCAACATGTGGGTGGTAAAGGGGATGTCGACACCAAAACGAGGCAACCGAAAGAGAAAGCAAGTGGTTTGATCCATACCTCACGTTCTAAACCCCAACTACAGAACGCCCAATTGACAGAGTGGTTAAAAGTTAATGGTAAAGCACGGCAACGGCAAGCTGGAACTTGGGTGTTCAGCTAAGTTAGTAAGTTGTAACGGTAGCGTAGGCTACAACCCACTCATAAGTTCCCCGTGAATGGGTAAAACCCAAGTGGCGGTTTCCACTTACCAACTTTGCAAAGAACATGCAAGAAGTGTACAGAACAATCCAGAATTCGGTGCGGATATTCGCCTTGTAGTTCCACGCATTGGTTTGGGTAGACCATTGCTTCACTGTTGACTTGTTTTTTTTTCTCGGTTCTTTTCGTTTTTGGTAGGGGGCTTCAAAAGAACAGCTCGGTTTTTTGCAAGGCCATACCTACGGGTTGTGTTTCGATTGGACTGAACTGAGGGCTGTGTTCCCCGTACTCCAGATACCCACTTTTTCTAGTTGGTCTTTTGCAAAAAACCTGGGCTTCCATGGTAAATACCGATCCCTTTTTTAGTAGAGGGTCAGCATGATACCTCAAAAAAGGCCGGGTATTTGGGAGTTTTCGGGGGTTAATTAAAACCAACCAGCCCCTCCAATAGTGAGGGTTCCAACCACTAAGCTTAGGCACCAGTTTACTAATAGGGCGTCCCCCTCCAGGGTATTGGGTGTGGGGGTTCGCTGCACAGGACTGGGGCCCTTTGCGGGCCCCCCACTGGGCCAACACTTCGCAGAAGGCACCGCAGGTGGTGCTGTACCTCTTCAACCTCCAAAGGAAGGACGGAGACGCTTACTTCCATCTACGCTAATATGTCATGTTATATGTTTCCCCTGGTTTTTGGAAGGGAATCGACTTCACTGGACATACTGATGGACCTTATGAATATGTCAACCTGGACCCTCAACCTACCCATACAAAAGGGAATTCAGCCTAAATTCGGGGCAATATCCATTTGTTTATGGGTAGTTTGAGGGCTCAGGAAGTTATATGTTTCCCCTGGTGCTTGATTTGTTTGAAGGGAATCGACTTCACTGGACATACTGATGGCCGAAATCCATTTCGCACCACTTGGAAACAATGGGAAACGACTGTTCATTGGTATTTGTCGGGGAATCATCGGAAGCCAGGGTTTCTTAGGGTTTCTTAGGTGGTGCAGGATTCCGTCCATCCACGGTGTACTTATTATGTTTTTTTTTTGGGGGGGGACCCAGGGCTCACGCAAATGGACGTGTTCAGCGAGGGGGCTTCCTCATTTCGTAGTTTGAGAAGCCTCACGATCCAAAATCTCCCGAAACAAGCCAGTTAAATAGGCTGCCTGAACCGAAGAAAGTACCCATAAAAATGGGGCAACAAATTGATGGCTGGTGATGTCCCTTTGTTTATGGGCAATTTCAGGCTTTATGCTAGATGGAAATTCAGTTGTAGCTAACCCCTTTTCGGATGAACATCTGACAAAGTCCTGTAGAGGGTTGCTATAATAACTGCCAGATGAAGTTGGTTGTCCAACGTTTGTTTTGTCCAACGTTTGTTTCGTGTGCTTGGTGGTTGGGGCTGTGTCTCGATGTGTTTTTGTGCAGCTGTTGGTTGATTCATGGTTGTTGTTGTTTTTGCGTTGTTTTTGGCGGGGGGGCATTTCATCATGCTGTTAGCCAACAACAAGAACATGTGACACACTCAAGATAAGATAATATGTTTATATTGTATGGGCGGTGGTACGAATCTTAGCATTTGCCTGACACTGAAGCGTTTGTTATGGTTCAACCGTTGGTTGATGGTGTGTTGCTGGGCTTTGAGCAAATAAGATACTCAACATGCTTTTTGGGCGGGATTATTTCACGCTTTAGCATTTGCACACTCAGCTCAGGCAGTTGTTTCGGGTCAGCTTGTTGTTTTCGCGCTTTTGGGCTGGGTCTCAAATCAGCATGTCAGAAATCTCAGGGGTTGCTTGCTGCACTTTACACTTTTTTTAAAACGTTTTTCAGCTGGGTGGTTTCCCTTTGTTTTGTTTTTATTATGATGGGTTGGTTCCCTTTGTTTTTGTTGACTCGTCTTTTCTTTTCCGCTGGGTGGTTTCCCTTGGCTCTTTTCTTTTTTCGCGGCTGAGGAGGAGGCTGAGAAGCCGAGAGCCAACGTGCAGAGGGCCTGGGACTGGGTGCAGGATCTCGGCAGCTCCGAGCTCGCGTCCTCGGACCCGGGGACCTCGGAGGTCGAGGAGCAGATCGCTTCGGACGGGATGGAGCGGCCGGCGATCTCTTCGGGGAAGGGCAAGGGCAAGTCGCGGCTGGTGTGGCGGGCCAAAGTGACCGAGAAGGAGACGGACGCCAGCTCCAGCGAACCGAAGGCGAAAGAGGCGAAAGCGCCAGAGGCGGCAGAGCCCAAGCCGGAGGCAAAGCCGGAGCCCAAGCCGGAGACAAAACAAAAGCCGGAAGGAGAACCCGAGGCGGCTGAGAAGAAGAAGAAAGGCAAGAACAAGATGCAGACCGCGGATATGAATGTAACCAATGTGGTAGTGCAAGATGGTTTCACCTACCAATGAGGCGCCCAGATCTGGATGACTGGAAACGGGTGAGTTTCCCTTCCACCACAGCGTTTGTAGCTTCACAAGCTCAAATGGCACACCGACATGTGGAATTCTAGTGCTTCCGCTGCTTTGCCACCAGGTGGGGCCTCTTCTATTCTTGGACAAACATCCAACCCCCCCCCGGCCGGGCGCCAGACCCATTCCGCCATCAGTGCGAAGAAGGATCGCCCTTCGCCGTTCATTTCCTTTCGAGTTGGGGCGAGTCGACTTGATGGACAGTCGCGCGCCGGGATCGGGTGGTGCAGCGTGCCGAGCTTGGAAAGAAAAGCCCGGGAGGACGAGCAGGGCGACGTTGCGTCGTTGCTTTCTTTGCTTGCTTGTGTGTGTGCTTGCTTGCTTGTTTGTTTGGTGGGTTGATTGATTGGTTGGTTGAGATGTGTTGTCTGTTTTGGTGCTGTTTGGCTTGGTTGTGTACTTGTCCATGTGTTTGCTTTGTTTATGTGGTTAGTTGTTAATTCATTTACGTTTGTGTTTTTAATACTTATGTATCGGTGTATTGCGTTTGTTTATATAATCACATGTACACTCTAGATGTGTTTCTTTCTTTATGGTTTGTACTGTTCTGTGTATATCGCATGTTACCACTTCTTTACATGCTTTGTTGGTTTTCCTCATCGTCTTAGTTACGTGTATATATATATATATATATTACCCTAAGTCTCCTTGGGGTGCTCGTACCTCGCCCCAGGCTGTGCCACTCACACCCCGTCATTTTGGGGTTTGGCCAGGAGACACCTTGGGGCTTCCTGGGGCCTCCAAGATTTTAGGCCCACGCCCCGCGACACCCCGAAAACCGGGGCTGGCTGACACTCATTTATACTCAAGCTGTGAGGGTCCAGGGGGCAGCAGGAACATTTACGGTAGCAACTTCATGTCTGCTGCTGTGCAGCAAGATGTGCAAAAACCACTGCTGCCAGATTGAGATTTTCAGCGGTTGCCTGCTCAGAGCTTTGACGTTAAGGTCCATGAGGTTCACTGCGCCCTCATCGGTCGCGAGCAGGAAAGGTCTCCGATCTTGAGCTTGCTGCGCGTGCGACTTCGGAAGATATCATGAAACTCCGCCGTCCCCTGCCGACAACCGACGCCAGCCGACGCCAGCCGACGCCAGCCGACGCCAGCCGACGCCAGCCGACGCCAACCGACGCCAACGACGCCAACCGACGCCAACCGACGCCAACCGACGCCAACCGACGCCAGGCGACGCCAATCGACGCCAACCGACGCCAACCGACGCCAACCGACGCCTGGCGACGCCAGCCGACGCTAGCCGACGCCAACCGACGCCAGCCGCCGCCAACCAGCGCCAACCACAGGCAACCGACGCCAAGACGCCAGCCGACACCAACCGACGCAACTAGACTAACGCCAGGAAGCCAACCGACGCCAACCGACGCCAACCGACGCCAAGACGCCGACCGACGCCAGCCGACGCCAACCGACGCCAACCGACACCAACCGACGCCAACCGACCAAGGGCGCCAACCGACGCCCTGTTCAACCGACGCCAACTGACGCTAACCGACGCAAACCGCCAGCGCCCCCCCCCCATCCGGCTGCAGCTCTTTTCAGGTTTGTCAGTGGCAAACACGCGGCTTCTTGAGACAGCAACGCAGACACCAAACACAAATTGGTGTAGGGATCTGGTTGAGTTGCTGGTGGTGCCTGGGAACCTGTCGAAGTTGGGAGTTCTTCCTTGCAGGTGATGGAGAGAGTGTTGCTGGGGATGCTGGGTTTTGGCGTCAGTTGGCTTGGCGTCGGTTAACGTCGGTTGGCCTCCTTTTGCGTCAGAAAGCCGTCGGTTGGCGTCAGTTGGCGTCGGTTGGCCTTCTTGGGGCTTCAAACTGTATACTACATTTCAACGCGCCCGGCGTCAGAAAGCCGTCGGTTGGCGTCAGTTAGCGTCGGTTGGCCTTCTGTGGGGCTTCAAACTTACTACATTTCGACGCCCCGAGCGTCAGAAAGCCATCCGTCGGCATCGGTTGGCGTCGGTTGGCCTCCTTGGGGCTGCGAAGTTACGACACTTCAGCGCCCCGAGCGTCAGAAAGCCGTCGGTCGGCGTCAGTTTGCGTCGGTTGGCCTCGTCAAATTTCGGGCCTCAACAATCTACGCCGTGACTCCGCGAGCGTCAGAAAGACGTCGGCGCAAAAATGATCCCCTGACAAAACCCCAGCTTAAACAAGCCCCAAGCACCATGCTCTGGGGTCGGTGGATCTTGCGGATGGGCCACGCGTGGATGTCTGTGTGATGAGAGCTGTTTCGCGCTTTGTTGACCATCTGCTGTTGACCTGTATGAGGGGCTGTTTCATGATTGCTTTGTTGACTATGCAGGGCTTGGCTGCAGGGTGGCACGGATCGCATCACCCACGACATCTGCCGCCCCCGAGTTCCGAGAAACTGGCAAAGCTTTGAATGGATCAGTGCATACCTACTTACGCAGACCAAACGTTTTGTGTGCTCCTAACTCCTCGCCACGCCTAAAAGGCTTTTTGCGACTGGCAATGCGCCAGTGTGCCCGCCAACAATTGGATGTTGCAGCTGCGCTTGGTTGTCGTAGCCTTCGCCGCACTTTGCGTGCTACGCGCCCGCCGATTTCTCCAAAGGCAGCTGGCAAGGCAATACCCTATTGGTTGGCCGCCGTGTTCTGAGCTAGATCAAGCAGTTCCTATTTGCGCGGTCATACACAAGCGTGTGCTGCCAGCATGATGAACGCCCAGTCTTGTCGCAGGCGCAGACTGAAGCAGTGCACGCTGGCTCAAAACCGAGCTTTTGTGGCTGCTCCTGCCAAATTTCCACCAAGCGGTTCTTTCTTTAACTTTGCGCCTTTTCAGCACTGAGCATGCAAAATGGGACGGGGTTCACGATTCTGTTTTTGTCACCTTGAAACCCTGGCTGCGACTGGTTAGGGTTTCGTGGGGCGAAACAGGCAACTCCGCGCGCTGTTGAACGGAGAAACGCAACTTGTACCTACCAGGTAAACGGAGGCACAGGGAGCTCCTACAAGTCTTGCTCACCCTCCCCGTTGACTCCTACATTCAACCCCTCGCCTTTTAATTAGTGCGTTACATGAAAGCGAATCAAATGATGTTCTCTTGGGGCCTCGCAGGCAGGGGTCGAGAGTTTGGGGTGTGTTGGGGTGTGGGGGGTTGTAGCTGGATCAAGCGCAAGACCCCGAATTGGTAGTCCGCCCCGTGGTGAATCGGGAGCCTTAGGGTACATAGTTCTTTGTTATTTCGATTGTCCTCTCTGTTGTCGGTTGTCCTTATCTATGTAGTTATGCATTTAGCTGTTCATGTGTTGTTGTACATTAGATCTTTAGTTTATGCGCTTACTTTCAATGTGTTATTGCGGTACTCATTTGTTTACTTATTGTGGTTGCTTGTTTGTTGTCTGTTTGTTTGTTTGTTTGGTTGGTTTTTTGTTGGTTGGTAGGTTTGTTGGTTTGTTGGTTTGTTGGTTTGCTTGGTGTTCGGACACTTTCTGGTCGCACCATTTATTTCCATTTGCTAAAGTTGTTTTAGCAAAAGTCCTATGCTAGTTTTAAAGGGAGCCTATCACTACTGAACATGTTTTTTCTTTTTTAAGGGGGCGTAAGCACATGGAGGATAGGGTGAATTCGATTACGATGCCTTTTTTCCCGACTCGGTGATACAATTCGAGCGGGGTCGAGGGCCGTGATGTAGGTCCGTGACTTGATCCCTTACTTTGCTCCGAGTTTTGGGACCTTCTGTTGACCCCGGATCTAATAGGAAACCTACTGTGGGCGGACAAAATCCTGTACCACCTAAAACCCTCAAATGACGATTCCCCCGTAAATACCAACAAACAGTGGTTTCCCATAATTTCCAAGTGGTGCAGGAATTTATCCATCCACAGTATGTTTGGGTACCTATCTTTGACCCACAGCCATGTCTGTTTTTATCGCCCTCTCCTGGAAGGCTGGTGAGACACTGAGGAGGTGTGTTCAGCGTCCCCTTTTTGGCTGGGAAGCTTCCCAGTCATAAGCTTGACGGCTATTGGGCAACAGATCTTTAGACTTTAACTTTTGGGTTGAAATCTAGTTGGGTTTTCCACTAAACCCCCAACAAGTTAAACTTTTTGCGGGGGGGGGTCAACAGCAACCAAGTAAGTTGTGCCAGACGGGTACAACATGCACACTGCCAATGCTAACCAAGTGAGGCTCACGGGATCTGCAACCATATGGCTGTGGGTCAACGCCAATGGTACCATTTTGGGGTAGGTGCACCACCCATTTGTCGACCCTCTACTAAAACAGGAGCGAAAACCAGGTTTCCCCAAACATGCCCTGAACAACTTCTGTTAAACCCGTGGGTGCTAGGCATGTGTTAAACATTTCCATGTTATGGCTCACATGGCGCCATGGAAAGTATCATGCTCATTTCAAGATGTTGCTGTTGTTTTGCCATATTGCATTTCGACTATCCATTCATCAGTAAACTTCACTTTATGAGTAATATGTGCATGGAACACCAGCTTTATGCCCCTTTTTTACAGCATTTCTAGCCTTACTTTCATGGGTGATGTTGGCAGAAACAGACGGCACCGGACTACCTTCCCAGTTCCCCTTTTTTGGCCACTAAAAACAGGTGCGTGCCCGATGGTCCCATCGAAATTCGGCCTGGGGCCCCTGTAGGAACCTGGCAGTGATCCCCCCCCCAAAAGATATGGGGGGCAACCCGGTGCAAACGTGTGGTAAGTGCAATTGGTTGGGAATTTTAAGTGGTCCCTTGGTGCGTTGTGATGTACTTCGGCATCTTTATAAGGGTCCCTTAAGTAAGCAGAAGGTACCAAGGAACCCTTTGCTCACTTCCTGAGTTCATGAACTTTAAACTTTTTGGGAAGACAATTTTAGTGGTACATCTAAAGTGTGGTGTTTTTTGGCCTTCCACTCAGGAAGTGGGTCTGGGTATGGCAACTGATTACTCACACAAAGCCCTGGGAAGAGTAGACGTGGCCCAAAGGTCCTGCTCCACTCCGGCGCCAAAGA